CGCGCCAAGGACGACTAGACGGCGATTTTCGCCGGTCGCCGGGGCTTACGGAGATCTCTGAGTGATCTTTTAAATTTTCATCTCAACTAGTTCTAGATGCAAAAACACCCTTACAAGCCTTCCTGGACTTTATTATGTCTCTGACAATTTGCTAACAAAATTAATGATTTCTCCTCACACGAAACTTCAATAACATATTGTTGTTTACATTAATAATAATGATGAAAGGTTTGAACCCAGGAGTCATTTCATGAGTACAGTATGGCTCAAAAGTAAGTTGACGGTCACTCTCGCGTCTTGATCCTAGAACATCGAGACTCGATTCTCGATTCTCGATTCTCGAAACTTTCGAGAATGGAGTCTCGAAGATCGAGACTCAACACCTTGCAAAGAACTACAAGCAAGCAACTGCATATATATAATTCACGAGGTGCCCCTGCTAGAGCATCGGGCCACCCCTAGTATAGCTGGAGAAACTGCTGACCAGCATTGCTTCGAGGTTAACTTTGCCTAAATTACATTTAGCCACATTTATCAAGATTTGCATAAAACTGTGACAAGCTAATCAATTCACAGGATTGCTGAGTGGCACCATTCATCTGTAAAAATCTTTGAACATGGCAAGCAAAGGCTACGTACACTGTATATGCAGGATAAATCTTTGAAATCAAAAATATTGATTTATGCTTATTGAAAGCTGGCCGAAGCTGGCAATTCAAACAGTTACAGAACACTGCACCACAAGCACTGATCATTGGTGCAAATTTCTGAATGGCTATATGACTGTGCGACATCCTTCTTTCAGAAAACAATAATTTCAGGTGGAAGCCTTGCTTCTCAAAACTCGAAAGTTGAAGCTTCAAACTCGAGACTCGATTCTAGCGTCTCGAAACTCTTTTGTCAACAATCACATTGCTGAACACCATTTACAGACAAAATACCAAATCGACTGGGACTAAGCGACATTACGTATTCTACAGAGTACTCGCAAAGACTCACTTTAAAAAGCTGGTTTACTAACTTAGAACAAATGCCACTGAATCATAGTCGACAGTTACCAGCCCCATACAAACAACTTATTGATGGACTCAAGCAAAACTGACCAGGAGAGAATGATGTGACAACTGACAATTTGACTAACAATACACAAGTGTTTAACTGTGACAATAGACGGATCGAAATGCACCAATGACATTACGAGTCTACATAGCCTATAACAGCACAGCTTAACTTACAGACGACCAATATCATTGTGACTTAATTGACCAATCAGGTCAATAACCAGGAGTTTAATACCAAGAGTAAATCAATAATACAATTGCAGTCACAATACTATTGGGTTTACTATCGTTGGTGTATTAAGAAGGATTAGTAAGGAGTCAGAAATTGGAATTCCTCCAACAGATACTTCTTATTTACACCAGCCAGCAACCGTACCCTCAATTTTGAACCCACACCTTTCTGCCGAAATTTTAAGGCTGTGCACAAGTTCTAACATCACTTTTTATAAACTGATTTCTAAATTGAACAGTTTATCCACAAGTTGACAGACTCCCATGTTCGCCTCAAAATAAAAACTCGTATGCATTCTTGACATCTTTATTTGTCTTGTAATAGGTTCGTTTCCCATACAGAATAACCATTTTACGTGGTAACCACGAAAGCCGTCAAATCACTCAAGTGTATGGATTTTATGATGAATGTCTAAGGAAGTATGGCAATGCCAATGTTTGGAAATACTTTACAGATTTATTTGACTACCTTCCACTGACTGCCTTGGTTGATTCACAGGTAACATCTCTTTAATTTTATGTACTTTCTTCATATATAGCTAGTGTGCAAGCTGCTTATTCAGGTGAATTAATTGCAAGGAAAAAGGGGTGAGAGGTGGGACTGACAGCTTGCCAGCAGACTAATACTTCAAGTACTACAGCAGATGTGAAATAGTTCTAAGGAAAAAATTCAACGTCATTCTGTTTGTGGAATGCAGTTAATATTGCTAAACTAAGAAAACTATGGATGCCAGAAAGATTTCTGGAATGGTATTGTGACCAGAGGAACATTACAGAATGGCTATCGATAATCGATAAGTGTCGGCCGTAAAACGGGTCAGCAGGTGGTTTGCTGCTTCCTGATCTCAATTGTGATTAGTCACTTTATGTCCAGAAATGCAAGAAAACTCAGAACTTTGGAAGGTCATATTTGATACAAATATTTATAATTATTTTCATGCTACTTCATGTAGAGAGAGGTGAGGATTAGGGCCAGGTGACACTTTATAATGTCTACGATAAGGAGCATGAATCACTGACATTAACTTGCAGTCCTGGGCATATCTGTTCATTTGGCCGTAAAGCACTTACTAAATATTGTCTTTCCCTTTGAAGGCTATTTTTGCTAAAAACATTTTTTCTTCCCCGCATACAAGTTAGGGGTAGATTAATCTGGCGAGACATTTTTGACCAATAGTAAAACTCTTTTAAAGACTGGACTTGACTGGCCAGCCAATCCAGACAAATGCGACCTCTCGCGCGAAAACGTGCACTAATGGTTTTGTGTTAAACGGGCTAAAACCAACGGCTAACCAACGGGTAGCTAACGGTTTGTCCAACGGCTTTAACGGCTTTCTCAACGCTTTCAATGGGTGCGCAAAAAACTTCAATGGCTTGTAACTTTTTCCAAACGGTTTGTGGTGATTTTTCCAACGCCTTTTCATAATGCTTTCAACGGGTTGCCTAACGGCTTTATTAATTTTTTTTAACGGTTCTTCATGATTTCCAACGCTTTACAATCCTCTTGTATAATTATTTTCAACACTTCCCGAACAAGGAGCTGAACGGCTTTAATTTAGGTAACCAGCGGAGGTGTGGTAATAACAAAATCTTCAGTGGCTAAGAGCTCAAAATCTACAGCACTGCTTGAAAATTCAATCGTCCCAGGTCGAAACAAAATTCGAACTTCACCTCTCGATCATTTTCTTCTATTTTCTGTGCAAATCAGTATTCAACGATGTTTGGTGTTGACTTGAGAAAGGCCGATCTGAAATCAGAACAAAACGACACGAGTGGCCGAGGTGCAAGATCTCAAAACATCTACAGCTCAGCTAGACAATTCCAACGCCTTGAGTCCAAACAAAATCAAACGTCATGATCACTCCTCATCTATATTATTTTATAATATAATTATTCATTTCGATCGTCGCAGCGTGTCAATTTCTCCGCTTACTTGCCTATTTTATCGAAGGGAAGTTTGATTCACAATTCACCATAATTTTTTATTGGTTTATATCATGCTCTTTCAATTGTCAACACAGTTGTTTATCTTGTCTGGAAAAGTAAACACGTGTGCGATAAAGTTGCAATTTTTTCCACAAGTCGAGCCCTCAAAAATTGGCAAAGACGGGCTTTCAAGCATTCTGCTTGAAACTTTGCATATTTCTGGCGTTGCATAGCCCCACAATAACTCCAATATGGAGAAAAAACATGGTTGAGGAAATATAAGGCGGAAAAATGGGCGAGCGAAGCGAGCCGAGCTAACTTTGCTTGCCGTTTTTGTCCACTGTGCATTGATTCACACGGCTCAGATGATGCTTTGCGTCGAAACGTTAAAAGAAATGTTCGAACGGTATTTTGCATCATTGAACTAGCAGAAGTCGTTAGTTCACTAGCAGAACTTGAATACAATCCATGACTTTATATCTGTCAAATCCACAGTAAAAGGAAGGTTGTGTAAACAAATGTTTGATCGACGTCTAAAGGCACTTCTCGTAGCCTTTGTTCTCACAGCTTGTCTTTCGAATTCAACTTCCCAAAATTTTTTTTCCATTGTGTGTTTGTGAATGTCCATCGGCATTATCGCAAAACTTCAGAAACCTCCAAGAGCTTCTGAGCTTTGAGAGCAATATATAGTCTCGTGCAATGCAATCCGCTTTTGAAACATCGCACAATTTTCATCACAGTAGTTGCAGTCACGTGCTAGGCAACGAAAAAGTTCACGTGTATCAAGTTCCATCGCGTAAAAAAACAAGCCCAATTTTACGAGAGATTAACTCAAACTTTAAAGAACTCGCTATATTTCCCAGTAGAATAAAAGGCATCGATTCTCGAAAGTTTTCAAGGATTGCGAACGCAATTTCAGAGCCAAAGATTGGTCATGTTACAGTCAGACTTGTTTGTTACCGCTGATAGCCGGCCAGATAAGCCCAGAATCGCAGAATAGACATGATGTTATTTATATACACCTCCCATGATTCAACAATAATTAGTAGCCATTCAAAGACCCAAAGCGGTGAGGGGAGTTAGCTGTGCTGTATATTTTCTACGTTTCACTCAACTAACATAATCATAGCACTGTATAATTGACAGGTTTTGACAAACGGTTTTTGTGAGCGCTGCTTGCAGCGTGCAAAGAAAGTGGTGTCCGATACCCCGGGGCTAGTGGATTTTGCTATCGGGATAGTGAATTCTGTTTTTAACTTGCCCGATAGGCAAGTGATATTTTTTTAGAAATTTGAATAACAGAAGAACTGTAATCAATCCTGCTCATCAAATTTTTTTCGGGCTAATTGAAATGACTTTCGGGCTAGTACATGCTAGCTACAGCTTGCCCGAATGGCAAGCTGTAAAACTGACTTTCTTTGCACCCTGGCTTGGTGCTAGAACGGCTTTTCCCAACGCTTCCAACAGTTTAGAACACATTTTTTCCAACGGCTTTTCTCAAGGCCTTCAACGGGTAAGAGAAAAAAACCCAACGGCTTTTTCTAATGCTTCCAATGCTTTGGAACAAATGGTTTCAACGGCTTTTCTCAACGCCTTCAACGGGTAAAGGAAAAATCCCAACAGTTTTCTCAATGCCTCCAACATTTTAGTAAATGTTTTCAACGGGTACCCAATGGCTTCAGCCATTTAACAGGAAACCGTTACGTTTTCACGGGAGAGGTCACAAATGGTAAATCCATGCAAAGGTTTGACTATAATTTTGTTCATCATTACTTATTTCTGCAGATCTTCTGTCTTCACGGAGGACTTTCTCCTTCCATTGACACTCTTGACCATATCAGAGCCCTTGATCGCCTCCAGGAAGTTCCCCATGAGGTAGGTTAGAGAAAACTTAAGTCACATGTGAAATGGAAGCCTAGAGAGTTGGTTGTCTCATAAATGATTTATTCTTATAGTGCAGGGCTGTCACTGAGTTTTCATGTTGGCAGGTAATACATCAAGTTGGCAGGGAATTATTGTGCCCAGTGATTTAAACTCATCACACAGTCTTATGATACAAAGTGATATCATTCTGCAATGATGAGGGCACTTTGGATGCAGGGTTGTCAGAAAGTTTTGAAGTAGACAGCTGAGTTACTAATTTAAATGGCCAGTGCTGCAGGGGCTGCCCAGGGCCGAAGGTGCAAGCCTGCAGACTTTAAGCAGACAGTAGTGAAAAGTTCTGCCATATTTCATGTCTTCCAGTCCAGTACTTTGAAAGAAACTTCATTTTCCTAAGTGCAAATAATACTCTCATACTCAAAAATACCTATATTATTGAGAGTTAACAAAGAAAAATAGCTCGGTATGCCGATTTTCTTCTCTTTTTTTGATCCTCTTTGATATCCGCCATATTGTTTTGTATTTCTGCTGCTCAATACTGTTGCAGCACTCTTAAAACGAAATTTTGCCTTAACCCATTACCCTAGGGTGGGTTTTGTTTCTCTGTTGCTAGGCTGTTGAATTTCCGATAAGTGTGGGCGTGAGAAGTGTCATGTATCATTCTAACATACATGTAGTGCAGCCAAAAAAAGAAGCGCGAGATGTGTAAAGTCTGTAAAGCTGTGAGAGAAAATCCAAGCGGTGGAAAGTGGGAAAAAAGGAGCTGAAAAACGAGAGAAAGGTTTGGGAGTAGACAAACATTCATGCTACTGGCAAAATGAGAAGATGAGGAATATGAACGTGGTAGCAAAACAATATTGCAGTTCTCGAATCCTGGTGGGCACATGTTTGAAGTAAAGTGTCGATTGAAAGGCTTACAACTCAACTCATAAGCTCATTATGGTGTGAAACGTGACCTTAGGGTTAGCTTTTTAACATCAGAAGTTTCCCTTTTTTTTCTTACGTTTGCTTCTATATACAGTGCAAACTCTGACTAAGCAAATCTTACTTTTGCCGCTCTTGTTGCTTCAAAGGTCATGAACCTTGTCTGTCTCATGTTTCCTGTGGTTTGTTTCTGACAGGATTTGATCTCAGATGGAGTTTTATAGTACTGCTACTCTTTGACCTCTCTTAAAGCCTGAAGCTTTTTATTGCGGCTAAATAATCTTTCTATAAAAAATTTAATTTCATAGGTTTTCTCTGAAGTACATGGATCTGAAAAGCCACAAGCGTAAAGCTCTTTAGCCTGTGATCTCCTGCTATGTTTTGATGCTGTCAGTCCTAAACACGAGCGTCAAATTTCTCTCCTGTGGCCTCCCACAATCACCTTCCTTAGAAACGGAAAAATTTATCTTTTATTTCTGGTAAATCAGGCAACTTTTTAGGTGTTTTTTTCTTTGATGCTGAGGTAAATTGGAAAAATAAAAATAGATATGCTTATTACATGACCTAATCTTACTGTTGGTGGATTTTGAGGGCGAAAAAAAAGGTTGAAAATTTGCCAGTGCAGATACCTTAACCCACATTTCCACCAAAATCAATGACGGTAAGAGGCAATGCGTTATCTTCAGTGCTAAAGGGAAGAAATTAAGTGTTGAAGAATACATCAGTGATGTGAAACCTGAAGTGGGGAAAAAATCTAACGAAAGCCGCAATTTTCAGGCAAAATGGCTGAAAGAACACATGTGGTTGAGATACGAAAACCAAGCCATATTAAATGTCATTTTGGCATAAGAAGAGTTATTTGATTCCACGTTTTTTTCTGGTTTGCCCCCTTCCAAAGCCCTTGAAGGGACAAATTGTCTGCAAAGGCCCTAGAGCTGCCTTAAACCCTGATGTTTTTAACTATAATGCAATATTTTAAAGGGTGAACTACATTGTGTGTTTCTGACTTCCTTGTCATGATGATAAGGACTGGTTGTTCAAAGCTCTGTTAAAAAGACAACCAGATTAGAATTTAACCTCAAGTTAATGTTAATTGGCCTTTGAACAACTGGGCTAAGTTTGGTAAAAAATTAATATGGAACCTTGTAATGAATGATTTACTGCTTATGGAGTGGAAACAATATCTCCTTTGTACTTACAGGGACCCATGTGTGATCTACTGTGGAGTGATCCAGATGACAGGGGTGGCTGGGGGATCTCTCCCCGCGGTGCTGGTTACACTTTTGGTCAAGATATATCTGAAACATTTAATCACACTAATGGTCTTACTCTTATTGCCAGAGCTCATCAGCTTGTTATGGAGGTTAGTAGACATGTAGATAAGTGACTTTTCCAAAAAAATGACCTTATATACTTACAAGTTTCTAATGTTGTACAAGTGGTTATAAGGAAAAGAGTTTGCAGGTTATTCCTTCTCTAAACTCAGATTTTGTATGCGTACAAGTGTATTTTAGATGCACTGTGACAGAGGAGACTGATTTCTAATAAAGCCTCAAATGTTAGGCTAGTTTTTGGTTATAGTTATGATTTCATTTTGGCATTCATAAAACTTTTTGTCTAATTTTTTTTTTTTCAGGGCTATAATTGGTGTCATGATAGGAATGTAGTTACAATATTTAGTGCACCAAACTACTGCTACAGATGTGGAAATCAAGCCGCCATCATGGAGTTAGATGATGCTCTTAAATATTCCTTGTAAGTTTTGGTTTGTTGTATTATCATCACCTTTTTGTCCCAAATTTGGTATAAGAAAAACACTCAAGGATCTGTCTTGGGTTTTGTTTTCTGGCAATGCATTTGTACTCATGTATTTGACACATGTCCTGCAGAAATGGCCAATCAAGGCTCTTCTTTGAAGCAATTTATGTAATCATATAGGTGAAGTGAACTTCTGAAACAAAGAAGAGAGTGATACCGAATGTTTTTAAAGGTCAGCCAGTGGCCATCACCTTACAAAAAGACTTATGGTACGGTGGAATAGCAACATCGGCTAAGAGAAAACGTGACATACAAATTACTTGTGGGTATTAAATCAGCTGAAAATTGAAGTAGCTTTATCCACATGTACTTTCTCAAGTGCCTGGTGTTAACAGAATCTCTTTATTTGTACTCTAAGAAATATGTGAAGAGCATTGTGGCAATAGTGCACATTAAAGTCTCAACTTACCTTTATCCTTTCAGCCTGCAATTTGACCCAGCACCAAGACGAGGAGAGCCTCATGTAACTCGAAGAACGCCTGACTACTTCCTGTAGAGTGCATTACTCTTTTTGCTGTTGTATTGGTTGTCCTTGTTCATCACTGTTACCTGACACTTGGGATTTGACATCATCTTTGTATTATTGCAGTTTGGACAAAAAAAAATTTAGTTAAGCTTATACCTTTTATGTGATCCCAACCAATATTGTGGCAATTTTTTTTAAGGCTTCCTTTCATTGTCTGCCAATATTGTGGCAATTGTTTTTAGGCTTCCTTTCATGGTCTAAATGCCTTTTCTGTTAATTGATAATGAAACTGGATTATTTCCAGTTGCAATGGAGAAAGTCTAGTACGTGTTGCTTAGAGAGCTTAATCTCAATGTGCCAAGTCTATTTGTTGGCAATGTCTGTGAAAGTTTTACCCTCAAAAACTCTTGTGACCTGAGAGTTAAACTTTTCCTTTAGTTAGATAGATATGGCCAGCAGCTCAATGATGAACAAATGTGTGTACAGTGTAAAGTCAAAATTGAAGCTGTCTACACTGAGCTTGTTTGTAGGATGGATAGTCGGAGTTGTAGGGGATACATATGCATTATTGACCAAGTATGAGGTCAAGATAGCGGCGTAACAGATGTTACTTTTTTGCGTTTATCAACGAAGAAAGCAAGGAGCCAGACACGCTTGCTGTGTCTGGCACTCCTTGCTCGCTTCATGCTCGCCTGAGAAACGCAAAAAAGTAACGCCGGTTATGCGGGGTAGCTTTTTTGAGCGAACACGCTTGGTCAATGAAGGTTTAATTATATGGCGGAAACAAGCTAAATCTGTTTTGCAGGAGAAAGTAGTTGATCCTGATCCCCATTTGGCTAGCAGAGTCAGTAATATAATAAGAGTTGTTATACTGTGTGTATGCACATTAGCCAGTACTATCAAAGATTCTTAATGAACCATTAGAACATAGGAGTCGTTATTAGCAAATTATGATATCTTGAATCCCCTTTGGGCCCTTAGAGTAGTGCTTTGTGGCAACATCAATCCTCCTGCCATAAGTAAATCTCAACCCTGTGTACTTTGAAGAGACATGTATGATAGCCCTGGATATCTTATTATAAAAGTAAATGGAATATGGAGTGATAAAAGGACTTGTCTTTTATCGAATATATGATTAATGCTTTTCTCTTTTTTAAAGTAACGTGAATGCGGGTAAATGACTGCATTGTATTAACTAGACCAGATAAAAGTAAATTAGTTATTGGCTATGTTAGTTTGCCTGTCGAGCATCGAATTCAACAGTAATTAGTAGTAGCCTAATGCCCTTTTCAGAAGTTCAACTTCAGATGTGCGAAATCTTATGGTTATAAACGAAATTTATTGTTGTAGTCATAAGCATTTGATGTTCAACATCTGAAACTAGCCTTAGTGCTGTGCTAGTATTTTATTCCCTAATCATTAAAAGGCAATCTGTTATTAGTGTAAGACTTTTGTTGTCTGTCTCTTTTTCACTGCTTATAATTTTTGTCTTTGCTCCGACAAAATTCTGTTTTTTTTTTTTTAAATACTGTTGTAACAATCGTGGTCGAAGTTTGTGCGTATTGCCCGCGGAGGCTTGGGAGGAGAAAAATTTCCTTGCTCCTTCTCTAACTATGATTATTGGGCTGCCTGTGACAAAGCCCAATCTAAACATTGGTTTCGTCGCCTCTGTCGCGAAATGGCGGGCGGATTACCCAGAAGGCGTTGTATCTTCTCTCCCCCTGCTATTGGCCCCCCGATTTTTGACTATTTGGGGGAAGGTTAGGTCATTTTAGATTTAAATAGCTGAGTCACTAAACAAACATTCCACGCAAAAGTCGCTTTCCCAAAAGAGAAGTTAAACCCCTCAAATGAATTCGAAAATAGACTTGCCGTAATTTTATTGATAATGATGAAAACGTATTTATTCGATTAAACGCCGCAGTTGGAAGCAGAATTACCAGTAAGCGTCGCCCTCGAATAAACGCCGCACCTTGTTAGAAAAATGCGGCGATCACTCGAGGATAATAAGAAAAACCTCGGTACAATTTGGTAATTTACACCATCCAGACATTTACCATCCTCTCTCAGGAAAATAAGGGAGACATTAGAACTTTTAAAGTACATAATATTTACAGACGATTTACAATTCTTCAGATTTAGTAAGGGGAGAGCGCGCGAGCGTTGAGCGGCGAAGCCGCGATACGCGAGAAACGAGGGCGGCAGCCCGAGAAGAAGAAAGAGAGACACTCTTTTGTCGTGCCTCTCCCGTCTCGCGATAGACTGTTCACAGTCCCCTATTTTTTCGTGAGATCGTTTAGATATACCGCGTCTCACCGTCACGGATATCTTAATTTTCAGATGTACCGAGGGGGCGGGCGTCATCCAAGATGGCAGCCCGTGACGCAAAGCGTTCGATCTCGATGATCTTACGGGAAAATAAAGGACTGTGAACAGTCTAGTCTCGCGCCTTCAGTCACGCGCGTAATCATTTGCGCTTCTCGGGCGTTTTGCTCGACGGACCAAGCAAAAAGAAGGGCTGCTCGTAGTCTAATTTGCAAAAACTGTTGTCAGTGATTTTAAAAAAAGTGATTCTTCGAAATAAACGCCACCCTTGAGTAAACGCCGCATTGGAAATGCTAAAAATTTAATATAGTTGTTATATTTTCCTGTCTTGACATTATTTAACTCGGAGTTCTACTAGTAATGAATATTTTTTAATCGTTTGTGGTATTTTACTACTAAAAATGTTGAAAAAATAAAAATACTAAAACTACAAATACTAAAAATGTTGAAAGTCACAATGTGAGAAAATGCAAACACGAATCTGTCGTTTTTACTATGTAAACATTCAGTTAAAATGTCACAAATTCGCTTAAATTCAAAACATTTCATCTTTATTATGGTAATATGGTAATTTCGCAACGACAATTGCGTGCTTAATCGTGGACAGAAATTACAATAGTCCCAGAAGCGACCAATCCTCACGAACGCAGACTAAAATAACGGAGCATATTAAAACATCCCTAAGAACGATCAGTATCAAATTCCTCCTTGTCATAACACGTGTTATAAAACAAAGTATGGGAAATAGCAGGCATCGAACACAGTCTCTTCAGTTCGGCTCCGAAGGTTACGCTTTACCGCGCCTACGGGAGCAATAGAACATGGCCCGTCATTTCAATAATCGCCGAAAATAAACTGCATCTTCATCACGAGACTCATTTGCATACAATGAAAGTCGTGACGATTCTTATCCCCAGTTTCCACGGTCTCCACTAGGACGCCTGGGACCATGCCCCCTTTTTGGGAAGGACCGACGAAAAAAAAAGAAAAAGAAACGCCTGCATTTTTAGTATCGCACTGCTACAGCAAGCTCGACCAAAAAGAACGAGCAAAGCTGCCCGACTGGATCGAAACGCAGCACGAACTGGCCAAACAAAACATCACGAACACCGACTACGCCTTCAAGCTGTAGAACCGGACGCACCAAGATGATCCACCCACGGCGCCGAACGAACCAAAGTTCTCTGACTTCTACCAGCCCAGTGCTTTGCAAAAACAAGGCGAGTTAATTTTTGTTTACAACGGCGCTCTTACGCTTGAATACGCCATTTTCCGATTTTTATAAAATCTCGTGTAACCGAGGAGGCAACGTTTCCCAGATGCTTTTCATTTTCATTATTTTTCAAATCTTAAATATAGAAATGGATGCCAAGCTTTCGAAAATCTACTGCAGCCCTCAATGATACAGGAAAGTTCTCGCCGCCATCAAAAAGCTCGCCGCCGGGCCAAAAATTTCTGAAGATGCTGCGAAAAAGTTGCTGATCTGTAATACCCTTTGGCAAATTAATCTTACCGCCCCAAAGCACATTCCTCGCCCCAAATTCGATGTGTCGACGCTAAATGCAGTTCACCAAGCAGACCTTTTTTTACCGCATGACAATCAAGACAAGTCTCGATCTTACAGTAAACTTTCACCACAAACATTCTATCGTCCCGACTAGCTGCCTCTGAGTCTCCGAGGATGGATCGGAAAGAAACCGTGATGAAGCCATCAAAGAAAAGACTGTTTCTGCTAAGCCTGGGACTCCATATTTGCGTCCTGTCGGAAAAATGAAAAAACTTCACTCTAATGTCAATGTTTGTTATCTATATCAGCCTGGTGATCTCGAAAGGGGGCGGCAGCGGGCCACTGATCCCATCTGGTCTTTGAAAGTCTACAATGTCCTGCTTCCCCTTGTGAAGGCCCAACGAGCCAATTGTGTATCTGCAAGACGGCCCGAAACGGGGGTTTGTGCGTGAAGAGCTTCTTACTATTCTGCTTAACACTACTCTTCCTCCTTCCTCCTCCAAGTGATACACAACAGGCTCCGTGTGGATCCCGTCCGGCAGCACCCACCGTTTGTCGTAATCGCACTAAGCCCCAGCTTATTTTGGGTATATTTTCGCATCGTGCCTTTAACCATCCTGAACCCCCAGTATGTGGCTTTGTCCTCCACTCCGTTCAACGCTGCCTCGTATTGGTCCCATGTGAGCTTGTTCTGCCGCTTGGGCACACCCTTCGATGACAGCTTGGCTTTGCCCTTCTTTTCCTTCCGCATGTAGCCCAGCCCTCCAGGCCGCGGCTTGTTAGGACCAGTTCCTTGTTATTATGCGAGGCTGATCAAACATATTTGCATAATATGGCGGACGGACACGTTTTTCTAGCTCCGAACGCTAATCGCTTTTTCTCCAGGCCGCGGCTTGTTAGGACCAGTTCCTTGCCTGATTTGAGTAAGGTATACACTGACTCAACTCTGGTAGCCGCTAATCGGATCAGTAACCAGAATATGTCTACTTCTGTGCCCGATTATGGTTCGCTTTCTTCGTCCTGTGAATTGAGTGAAATGGCTGCTATTAAGAATGCATTAAATGGACGGTCCATCAACTCCCTGAAGGTGGAAGATCTAAGGGACGAACTTGAGAAAAGAAAGCTTTCTAAATCTGGCAGGAAAACTGAGCTGGTTAAAAGACTCAAGGAATCGATTTTGACAGGATTTGGTGAAATTCAAATTCCCCGCCAGAATGTCAACCAACCGTCACCTCGGCCTTCGGCTGTTATAAACCT